CCCCAAAACCCCAAAACCCCAAAACCCCGTCCGATTGAGACTAAATGTAAAATTAAAATTTGATTATTAGACTATAATATTAATAATGAAGAAAATTTCCAGCATTTTATTGATTGCAATAATCTTATCAACTCTCTTAGTTTAAACATAAGCAAGTATTTAGGTAGCAAATAATAAGGAATTCAAGTTGTTTTACAAGAAGTTCAATTTTTATGGATGGCTTACGAATACCTAAGATTTACTGATTGGATTTATGACAGTCTCCTACTGCTTCAATAAAGGAATTCTCAATGTCTTCCTATTCAATGATGGTGGTCAATCTCTCTATGAATGTTTGGATTCTAACGTTAATGCTATATAATGGGGATGATTTGATTAATATATCATATTTTAAGTTGCAAAATCATGTAAATCATTAAAATGAATTTATTTTCAATCCAAATTTTTACGAAATTCTTTCACTCTAATGAATTTTCTAATTTCCTACATCCATCCCAGTTATTCTTTATAAATCAGGTTATCCAATCACTTGATCTAAAATGCCTACTATTAATGAGGCAATGAATAGCTATTATAGTATTTATTCATGGTTCTTGGATTAACTCGTCATGTCTTTCTTAGCAATTATAATTGAAATAATATACTAGCGATTCCATCTAATCAGTTCTGTTTAGTTATGACAGGACAAATAAGCATTCCAAAATTAATTTAAAAGGAGGAGTTATAGATAATGAAGGTACTTATTCAATCAAATATGGAATATTAACTTTATTAAATTCAAAACCACACTGTAAGCCAGTCAATTCTATAGGGGACTGAATAGTAGCATTTGTAGAAGTTAGCTCCTCCGTCGTTGAAAAGGATGACATAGGTCCAGCCAATTTAAAAGCAATAGAGGTCATAGATTGATCTCATCATGAAGAACCAGATGTTTTGATACCAGTTGATCATTCTCTAGAAAATATCAACCTTTACTTAAGGAACTATAGCCACTATTCTGCTTGGATCTCTGACTTTAAGTTCTGTTTGAGCTGCTAAAGAAACAGCTACTATCATCATTAAAACAATAAATACCTTTTTGTTCATTTTGATATTATTATTTAATTTCTATATTTAATCTAAATAAGTGATAGTGGGGTTTTGGGGTTTTGGGG